CGAAACGCGTCGGCAAGTATAAAACTCAAGGTCGTTTTCGTAAGTGACGGCTCATTCCAGTCGTTCGGTGGATAGCGATCTGCTCGATTTTGTGGTCTCCGACTCGACAGCTAGGCGACACCAATGCGGCGACACCACCATTACTGGTGTCACTGATAATGTCCGCACCAACACCAATCACGTGCCACTCGTACACATTCAGAACAATTGTAAGGTCTTCAGCGGTTTAACATCACGCCAAGCCCTGATACATCTGCTAAATACATCGTATATAATTTATCTCCATCGTACATAATTCATCAATGGCAGGATGTGTTGTTCTCTTTTTTGCGCCATTACTTCTCCGTTTAGAACGTTGCCGCCCTCACCGCTCTGAATCCAGCTCTAGCTAAATGTCCATCACAGCTGTCTCACCCCAGCCCGTTCCCACGCAGGCTCGATGGAGTTACTAGCGGCAGACACGGTAGCCGTATGTATATCATCTCGTAACCCAGCGCGGGGAATGACACTGCTCGCTCCTGTCTCAGGGGGACTTGGGATCATCTCATCCCGGATCGGGGTCGGCCATGGATCGCGGACCAACCGGTCCACTGGAATATGCATAGAACGATTATCTGCTGCGCTACGCAAAATCGCAGCACGGTGGTGCGTCTCAGGCTGGATACGCTTCACTTAAACAGCCTTTTGACTGATCGGGTGGCCTCACCTTGAAGGAAATGATGCTTTAATGGTTTGAATTAGTCAAATTGTAATATGTCAATCGTCGCAAACAATGCATGTGCGTAAGATAATTACAGAACAGATAATGTGGACTGCAGCGGTAACTGGATCTTGGCATTTGGCTGTTTTCATCATGATGAACAATTAATTACAAACGAATTTATGAAAGCACAACGAAGTTACATACTTATAAAGAGTTAAAGAGTTACTTATATAAAGTTACTATACAAGTTCTTATAAAGAGGGTAACAATACAGAACAAAGTGTCAAGAAAATTTAATCGGAAACAATAAGTAGAACAAACTGAACAGTGGGAGAATTGGTGATGATTATTATTCTAAGTTTAGCCTAAATTACTGTCCGAATCATTATTAAAGGGACTATCCCACCTTCTAAAATGTTGTTAAAACCAGTTAAATTGTGCCCGACTTTATAGATTGGATGACCAGGAACACGGTTCTGGCATTTATTTTTCATTAAACATCTTAGGCTTCCCATATTCCAAACACAAACTTTCAAATATGTGACGTCAGAGCCAAAAATTACCTCCTTCCCCAGGCCACATTACTATCATAAAGCTGATTCTTTTTACTCTGTAGGCACCACAACAAAGTTCAGACCAAGTTTTAAGCGATTTTTCAACGAACAAACCCATTTAAATCAGAATGACTAAACGAGGTGACGTCACACTAACGGTCGCTCCATGTTGAAGATAGGGCCTTGTAAGTACAAGGCCCATTTTCAAATGAAGGGAACGAATTTCTTCAACACCAAGAGGCCACGGGGGTTGCAACCTAGATAGATAGTGGTTTCTGAACCTCGCCACAAACTTGGCTATCTCAACTCAAACCCCATGTTAAAGGTGGGATAGTCCCTTTAAAGCATAGTATTAAGTATTAACAGTCATTCAGCTCCATCCTTATTAACTTGACATACGTCACAAGCACTCTTCAGCTGGGCAATATCGCCGTCGGGGGAGAGCAATAACACGGAGAGGAGCAGGGAAAAGAAGGAGGCTGAGGGAGATAACTACAGATGAGGTGGCTTCCGTGAGCGCTATACACCCACCCACGCCTTTACATAGCAGGGCGGTACAGAGCGAGAGAGGAGAGAGAGAGAGAGAGAGAGAGAGAGAGAGAGAGAGAGAGAGAGAGAGAGAGAGAGAGAGAGAGAGAGAGAGAGAGTGAGTGAGGAGAGAGAGAGAGTGAGAGAGAGATAGAGGAGAGGAGTAAGTTTATCAGAACATTAAAAATCAGAAGAAAGACTAGAGAAAAATAAATTAATAGAAACCGAGAAACAAACAGACTAGACAGACAGACACACAGCAGACAGACAGACAGAACAGACAAAGACGGGTGCTCTCAGTCTCAAACCAACACTGAAACCAAATTACAATATGGTCTTCTAGCAGACAGCAAAGTGCAAAACAAAATGGAAGAATGCTATAAGTAACAAGCACCATATATTTCGACAAGCAGCGGTGTTATGTCTCTGTTGTCTGAGCTATCCGGCCGAATTACCACTCCTCCCCCGCCGGTAAACTTTTATTTTATCTCCGCGTTCGAGGCGAATGCGGCCGTGGCGGCGGCGAGGACAGTGGTGGCGGCGTGTCCGGCTTATTGCGCCTGTCGGTTCGGCTTTATCGTTCCATTCCGGGTCGGCTCTGGGCGGCGGCTTTATCGCTGGCCGGTCGGGCCGCTCGCTCCGTCCGCCGCGCCGGTCGGCCGGCCGGGTGCAGTCAGTCCCCCTCAGCCCCGTGTCAGCCGGACGGTCGGTCTGCCGGCCGCCGACTCTGTGCCGCCAGCCCCACACGCGCCGCGCCGCCGGCCGGTGAGACGAGCCCGGCTCCTTTCTCTGGGCAGAATAATCGGTACCGGCATCAGCCTGCGAATTTCCTCGTGTCAGACGGGCATCTGCCGGGGTGGCTTCATTTCCGGCTGGACAGACCCGGATGCTGCGGCTACCGGCGGTGCCGTAAGACACGCTGACGGCGGAAAAACAGGGCAGTGCAGGGTGGCGGCGTTGATACCGACTGGGAGACCGTAAAATTTGGGTGTATGATAATTTTGTGCAGCATAGTGGCCCAGTAGACATAGCAGAAGCTCCACGACCTTACCGTGAAGGCTGACGACCTGCACATTCGAAAATTTACATGTTGTTTCGGCTCGTTTCAAGCAATAATCGATAAGTATTAATTAAGTATCTAATGGTCTTTGCGCTCCATTTGTTTCAAGTTTGCTTCGCATGAGTTGATGATGGGTAGAACTCCTTATGCTCCGTGTGCTTATGAATGCAAAGATGAACACGAGACAAAATGAGTTATCTTTCAAGCGTTACTTCCTGGATTAAAGATTCATTTTCCGCGGCTGACGGTGCTCGATCAGCCATGCTGAAAAAGTTGGCTGTGGAATTTCACACGCTCGATAACTTCAAAACGTGGGAATAACGGATAATGCAGTCATTGTACATACATCAAGCTTCCCTGTCCGACAATGATCTAGGTATCTATTGAAAATGTCTGATCATATTTGTATTACCTGGGATAAGTTTTAATATGCAGGTTAAATAAATAAGCGTGAATTATCCCAATGACTTTTAAAGCAGTGAGGAAATTGACTGATTACATGCTAGTTACATATGTAGGTATGCGAGACTCAATTTTGCATACGCTGTTCCTGCAAAACTAATCACTGCATTTTTTCGAAGCATTCGCACGGCTGGCGTTGTTAATGCAGACATGACGGATTCGGCCTTCAACTATTTTTAGCGCCATTCACTGTTCCGGAACAGCGCCACTGAGCAACCGAAATTCGTTTTGCCGTCTATACCTTTGTATTATGCTTGCCATTTATTTCGCGCGTGCGTTGCACTTTTGGAAATTTCATTACCTACCATGACATCAGTGGGCGAGGAATCCGGACGCCGTAAACGGCCCGAGAAATTCGCTTTGTATTGCCTCAATTAATGAGTTGATTGGTTATTTCTAGCGCCATCGACCGGCGGGCCCGGTCCCCAGAGAGCCCTCTCGTTCGCCGGGCTGAGGTTGGCCACCGGCTGAGCTCCGCGACAGCTGCAGCTGCAGAACTGGGACGGGGCTGCAGCAGCAGCAGCAGCAGCAGCAGCAGCAGCAGCAGCAGCGGTAGACGGAGAACATAGCTCAACTGGAGGGACACAGCAGCTAAATGAAAGCCCGGGCAGTGGTGTCGGACTGCAGTGTAGAACCTCTGAGAAACTGCGGTCACTGAGCGGCGGAAGGTCAACCAATGTGCTCGGTGTGGGTCCGTTGTGTCCGCCCGGCGACAAGCCGGCTATAAACGCCGCCGTGAACTCTGAGAGTCGCGCTGTATGGCGGCCGTCCGTCGTCCGTTGTCCTCGCCGGTTGGAGCCGCTCTCATATCGGTGGCCATCCGTCAGGCCGGTCAGCTGCAGCCCGACCGTGCCTCAGCTAATTAGTACGGCACCGAGAGGCTGCCGGCCGCCCCGCCCCACATGTCCTGCGACCGGGGGTGGAGCAGCCCTAGACTGGAACGGCCCGAGACTGCAGGACAGGGCGGCCAGGACTGCGGGACAGGGTGGTCACTGGTCAGTGACTGCAGGATGGGGCGACCAGGACTGCGGGACAGGGTGGTCAGTGACTGCAGGATGGAACGGCCAGTGACTGCGGAGGAAGGCGCAGGTCGTTCGGGGAGGGACCATCCGCAGTTATATGCCGTCTACACGTTGGCTCACTGAGCGCCCAAGCACCCGTGCAATGCACAAAGCAACGGTGCAGAATGAGACACATGCATCAGTGTATGCCGCCTGTGACAAATGGAATGCGTAATTGAGTTCGTTGCCAGGCGGCTCTCAGACCTAACAGGTCGGAAATGCGGCCTTCTCGACTTACCTGCGGCTATTTTCGTGCCTGCCTTTGTGTGACTGGTGCTGCGATGCAAACGACCTCCGTGGCAGCGCTGTGCCCCCGCATCATTTTGGTTCGCCGTGGCCTTGGGCGACCCACGCACGCACGTGGCACGCAGGCACGGGATGCAGGGGTCAGTGGTCGAAAATGGTATCTATCTACCGCAACTAGTCATCTCCCTATCGGAAACGACGGCTGTGGCCGGCATCATCTCGGCCCGGCGGGCGAACGACCGTGCTCCGGGGCGGAATACGTGCGCCGGCTGCTCTTTATGGGCGCTCTAACGGCCGACCGGCGGATGTGCGCGGGACATTGATCTCACCGGCACCGGACGCACTGGAGTGGGCCGGCACAGAGACAGAGCGAGAACACCTCCGGACGCAGAGAGACCACTCACCAAACATACGCCGTTTATTCGGCTCAGCTCACAGGGAGCGGACAACATTGTACTTGTGACGGGCATGGAGACACCGGCGGGGACCGGGCGGGGAGGGGACGGGGTGAGCGCGGCCACGGCGGATAGGTGGCCGACTGGCCGGTCTGTTGACTCACACGATCGGTCAAATCTCCTCACATCACTCACAGAACTGGACGAGTCCGATAGCCAGCCCAGACTAATCACCTGTCAGGACTGCAGCAGTGAGATCCGATCCGAGGGATTGTCAACAGTTATGGCTCTCTAGCGCCCCTAATATTTGGCTGTACATCATCCATCACTTGATATATCACTGATATCAACTTACTGCTGATAATCAGCAGCCAGTCATTACGTATCACGTCGTGGACATTAATTCGACACTGACAAATAGGTAACACTATCCACAAAGCAGACAACAGCCGACCTGTGAATGACATCTCCAATAATAACGCGAAGTAATGCAGTAACACACTCGCTCCCTTGTCTGACGGAAAAACCTGGGTCACATCGACAGTGAGTCGTCTTTCTGTCCTGGACAGACTCCGCAACTCGCCTCCGCTCCCTCGCCAGGCCTTACCAACACCAACTGGACGACTGCCACCACTGCCTTCAAACCTCACACCGGTGAGTGATCCACACAGAGTCTGCTATGTCCGTCACGCTCAGCGGACAGCAGGATCACTGCAGTCCTCACTTGGTCTCTGGCGGCCGTCAGGAGCCACCTGTTTACGGCCCTTCCCACGTCCTCCCTCGCCGTGGGTTCATTTCTCCGTGGATCGGAGAGTGAGACCAAACACACACTGAACCGCGTCGGCCGCTAGCGCTGGCTATGCATCCGGGGTGCCTGAGAAGACGACTGGTTCCTGCGCGACTCGCGCGATGGGGAAAAGCCCAGCATGCGCTTGAACGCACGTTTAAAGTTGGCGTTGCAGAGGGGATAGAGGACGGGGTTGAGCGTGGAGTTTAGGTATCCCAGCCAGATGGAGCCCATGTGGACGTTCTCGTCGACGCAGTCTGGACAGACGGCGACGGCCACGAACAGGATGCTGTAGGGCAGCCAGCAGAGGATGAAGGCGCCCATGATGACGCCCAGCTGCACGGCCGCCTTCTTCTCCCGCTGCAGGATGATGTTGCCGCCGCCGGCCGGCGGGGGCTGCGACTTGCTGCCGTTCAGCTGCGGCGAGCCGCCGCCGGTCGGCGAGGTGCGCCGCTGGGCGCAGCTCGCCGCGCGCGCCGCCGCGTTCTGCAGCACCACGGCGCCTCGGCCGGCGCGGCGCGAGCGCGACCGGTGGCGGCGCGGCGCCGGTGTGCCGCCCAGCGACGCCTGGTCCGACTCGCCGTCGGCGTCTTCGGCCAGCTCGATCTGCACGTGCAGGCCGTCGTAGCGTCCGACGTACTGCGCCATGCCGCCGAGGTCGGGCAGCGCCATCAGGATCAGGTTGTCGTAGCTGACGGAGCCGTCGAGCGGTGCGCGCCGCGAGCCGGACGTGCGCCGCTCGACGCGCTGCTTGTCGGCCGGCTCGGCGCCGTTCGAGGCGGTCCGGTTGGCCAGGTGGAACCTGCCCACCTCCAGCTTGGAGCGCTGTCGGATCACGGCGAACATGCGCACGTACAGGTACATCATCGACACCCACGGGATGTAGAAGTTGAAGATGGCCGCCACCACCTTGAAGACCAGGTTCTGGGCGAATCCGGTCTCGCAGAGAGACGTGCCGGCGTCGGGCAGCGGCGGCGACACGAGCCAGTCGAAGAAGACGACGGGCCAGATCCAGCTGGAGGAGAGCAGCCACACGCTGCTGATCATGGCCAGCGCGCGCCGCTTGGTGCGCCGCCGCAGGTACTTGAGCGGCGCCGTGATGCTCCAGTAGCGATCCAAGCTGAGGATGCACAGGTTCAGGATCGACGCCGTCGAGGCGATGTAGTCGACAATGAGCCAGATCCGGCACATGGTCAGACCGAGCACCCACTCGCCTGGGGAGGAAGGGGGACGCTGTCAGTTCCTCGTGCACCCAGTCTCCTCATGGGGAGTCGCTGCCAAGCACACTCTCAGGATACATTCGGTGCGACTGCGATCCCTCACTAGCTGTTTCATATTATATCAGTATATAGGGCAAATTAGGTGACAAATTCATTTGTCTCTGACTCTGTCTGTCTGTCTGTCTGTCTGTCTGTCTGTCTGTCTGTCTGTCTGCCTGCCTGTCTGTCTGTCTGTCTGTCTGTCTGTCTGTCTGTCTGTCTGTCTGTCTGTCTGTCTGTCTGTCTGTCTGTCTGTCTGTCTGTCTGTCTGGCTGTCTGCGTTCTCTCTCTCTCTCTCTCTCTCTCTCTCTCTCTCTCTCTCTCTCTCTCTCTCTCTCTCTCTCTCCCTATCTCTCTCTCTCTCTCTCTCTCTCTCTCTCTCTCTCTCTCTCTCTCTCTCTCTCTCTCTCTCTCTCTCTCTCTCTCTCTCTATCTCTCTCTCTACCTACCTACCTACCTACCTACCTACCTACCTAACTACCTACCTAGTACCTACCTATTATATCTTATATCTCATTTTCTACGCCGGGTCTCTATTCGACGACTGAGTCCGTGAGTGATTATCCAGCCCGTCTGAGCTTTTATCATCAGTTAATTTCCTTCCTGCTATAGGAACTTTGCTTAAAACTTTCGCCCATCAGGCACGTCATGCTAGAGGAAATTAAATGCAATTAATGGGATGACTTACGCCCTTCGAAAGTGATAATGACGCTACAGAATGTAAAAGATGAGGCGCATTAGTAACAAAGTGTTCTCCCCTGCATTTGCCGTTTCTTTAAATGACAACTACGTGATTCGCATAAGCCTCTTTTTCATCTATTGCGTTGAATACATTGCACTCGGTCTAAACTATAGGCATGTGCATTGCGCAATGCGTTCATTAGCACCACTGATGTGGGCTGGGATACGGCAAGTTCCAGGACGGCAGCCCATTGGGAGCTTTCCAGTTTCATTATATTGGACCATCTTGACGAACTCTGGAAGATGCCAATGACGACCGATGAATGAAGCCACCACGAGAAAGCAGATAATTGATTATTAGCCTTACGAGGATTCAATGCGGCCTTGTCGCCTCGCGGTGTGCAGCGTTATCTGCACCAGATTCCCGTTAGGTGGCAAGATAATTAGTTTGAGTCCGACCAGTAATGTAACGGCACACCGGCAATGTAAGTACCGTGTCCATTCGCAGGGACACCACCATTTGGTCGGCCCCTGACGACAGCTTCAGTCAGAGCAAAACATCGGGCGTGTAATGCACCTTCTGGCTTCTCTGTAATCTGAGAGAACCTAGTTTGTCCCCGCCAGATCAGATCTCTTAGGTGATTTCAAACGCGAGAGGACTAATTACGTCTGGCACAGATTGAGTTAAGACTTTTGACAAAAATGTAGGTAAGAAATCAAAGGAATGCCTCACGGGTGGAACTTTGTGCGGAGCTGGGAGGGCCCGGGCGCAGCAAATCCGCCGCCGCCCTGTCGGTGAACTTAACCTCCGTGGTCTGTTGCGGCTCCGAAGCCAAGCCGGCGTCGAATTTGGAGAGCTCGGGCCTCCCAGCTCGGCACAAAGTTCCACCTATGGAATGCCTGCCGCTCCAAAATCTATTGGATACTTTCGATGTGCCTCAATTTCTTAGAGTACCATTTTTCCATTGTATATGACTTCAAACGAAGCGTGTACCGATTATGTCAATAGTCCAGTTTCCATCACCTGTATACATTACGAGTATACAAAGAAGCGTTGGCAAATCTACCGAACCCCTCTCGAATGAAACATAAATGCGCTTAATCTCGTCATTTGAAACTCACATGAACCGACTACCAAGCTGAAACGAACATGATATTGGTGGTGCAATATTCCCACCAAGAACAAAATCTGAACGCGCTAGGAGGTATCACAATGTGGGTTCATTTCCACGACTTGCCCACGCACATTTCGCTTTGACAGCGGCGCCCGGCCCGTGGAGTGTGAATTTTCCCCACTGCCAGACTTCTCTGCTCGGTTTGAGTCGAATTCCAGCGGCATGGTCGCGGGCTATCGGCGGGGACGGACGTGCCTGATCGAGCTCCTGCCAACTCACTCACGACACAATAGCCAACACTCTACCTAAGCACCAAACTCATAACAGACAGCAAATAGGTATTGGTATAGGACTGAATAAGCAAGTGGCAGAAAATGATACAACGCTCGCCGGTCCCGAAGAGACGAAAACCGGCAGCTCCACCTGGGACTCCGACGGCCGACGCTGCGGACGCGAATGCGTCGGAAATGTCGACGGGCGGGCGTTCCGCGCCAAATTCTTCGGAACGGGCCCCAACAGAGCTGAAAAAATGTGATACAAGAGACGCAGTGGAGGAAAGTGATGAAGAACTGGATGTGGGTGATGAAGTAGAAGCTGGCCCAGGTAAACAGAAAGACAAGCCGCCTGTCGGTAAGTTAGACCGAGACGCATATAAGCCCTGGGGAACCTGTTCTAGGTCCTCTAGTGACACTGGCAGTTTAGATACCACAGACAGTGGCGGTTCCACAGCGATTTGTAAGGGGGGCCCTGGGAAAGCTTCCTGCGGAGCTCTTGTCACTGACAGCGACCGAGGTATTCAATGCGACATATGCAGCGGATGGTTCCACCCGAAATGTCAAGGGGTCAGTAAATACGCATTGAACGCTCTCGAGAAGCACATCTCAACACTGGCGTGGCTGTGTTACGACTGTAAGCAGTCTGTTAAAAAGCGTAAAGGGAAGGAGGATGAAAGCGCCACCTCTGAGGTGATCCGTAAGCTTGAGGCCAAAATAGACAAGCTGTCGGAACTGGTGCGTGTCAGCCTCGAATCACTGCAGCAGTCCAACAATCGCACCCAGGTCACTGTAGAAAAAGGTTCAGCGAGTCTGAAGGAGAACCTGGAACAGAGGATGGAAAAAGTGGAGAAAGTGATGCGTGCCCATGCCAACCTGATTGAAAACCAGGAAAGGATGATTGATGCTTCTTTGAAAAGAATTCACGATGACAAGAAGTCATATGCTGAAACAGTCAGGGGAAGTTGTGTTGTAATGCAAGATGTCGCTAAGAAGATTGAAGCAATCCCCCTTAGTGTCAAAGACCAGGGAAGCCGTCATACTGAGGCAGCCATAGCGGGAGTCTTTGACAATTTCCTGGATAAGGAAAAGCGGAAGCTGAACGTTGTGGTACACAACATCCCTGAACCTCGAGGTGAGAGCTTCTCTGAGAGAGTGGAGCAGGATAAGGCTATGTTCAAGGAGATTATCAAGGAAGGGTTGAGGCTCAAGATCAATGTAACAAAGGCTTACAGAGTTGGAAAGGTGGGTCAGGAGAGACCAAGGCTGCTGATAGTTGGTCTGGAAAATGCTGAAGTTAAGATAGAAGTGCTGAAGATGGCCCCACAGCTCAGGTCGACAGAGAGGTGGCAGAATGTATATATTACACCAGACCTCACTTTTAAAGAACGTGAAGAAGGCAGGAAGAGGGAAGAACTCAGAAGACGCACAGATGCAGGGGAAGGAAACCTCATCATCAAGCGAGGACGCATAGTGAAACGTTCTAGAAATGAAGATGAAAACCAGACAACAACCCCAGCTCATCAGCAAGTTCACAACAGTGGGAACCAGTCGGCTGCCCAAGTTAAAACATCTGGTCCCCAGCAGAGAAGCCTCAGTCAGCTGCAGCAAGGAGGCGGTGTCCAGCCAGGCGGCGTGGGACAGTATTGACGGTCAAAGAAAGCCAGGAAGTTCAAGGTGCTTTACACGAATGCTGATCAGTTCATCAGGAAAAGAGATGAGCTTTGCATGCTCATCGCAGGTGATGAGCCCGATTTCATGCTGATAAACGAGATTATACCGAAAGCCCAGCTCAACCCTATCCCTCCAGCCTTACTAGCCATTCCAGGATACAATATGTATCTGAACTTTGACCCCTCTGTATGTAACCTTGGCAACTCTGGTCTGAGAGGAGTATGCATCTATGCAAAGGCAAATCTCCATGTGGCTGAGGTCTCATTCAATGTGCCATCCCTCAAGGACCATCTTTGGATTGAGATGCCATTGTATGGTGGGGACAGTTTGTTGCTGGGTTGCATTTACCGCAGTCCTTCTGGAGTAGCAGAACAAGATGTTGCAGAGATTGGGGAACTGATGAAGACAGCGTGCAGGTCTTCTCACTCACATATCGTCATCACGGGTGATTTCAACCTGCCACAAATTGACTGGAACCTCGGCGCGTCCACTGCCCCACCTACACATTGCTCGCACACCTTTGTCGATCTGGTGAATGACTGTTTTCTGCACCAACATGTCTCACAACCAACAAGGTTCAGGCTGGGCGAGACACCACACATATTGGATCTGGTTCTATCGAATGAGGAGGGGATGATCCAAGGCCTACAGTCCCTCCCTGGTCTGGGATCAAGTGACCATGTTGTCCTCAAATTCAATCTGAATGGCTACTCAGAGATAACGGATCCAGCCGAACCCCGTTTCAACCTGAACAAAGGGAACTATCGTCTCATGAATGCTCAACTGTCATCAACTAACTGGACACGTACTGCAGAACTCGAGACTGAAACCATGTACAGTGTTATCAAGGACACTCTCCTATCTCTGGCATCGACCTGCATACCCCTCGCCAAGCCAAGGTCAACAAACAGGAGTCTGTATATCAACCGGGAGGCCCTGCGGCTCAAGAAGCTCAAACGCTCTATGTGGTTTCAGTATGTACGCACAAGAGACCCGCTGGACTATGCACGCTTCACTCGCGCCCGGAATAAGCTGCGTACGCTTACCCGTAACCTTAGAGCAGGTTTTGAGAAGAAGCTAGTCGCAGACCTCCGAGAAAACCCCAAAGGATTCTGGCGCTACACTGGCTCACGATTGCGCACCAAATTAAGAGTTGAGGACCTCAAAGATGATGATGGAACGATGGCACGGCAAGACAGTGAGAAAGCGAGCC